TTTCTTGGCCTGTATCAAAATGCTGGTCATAGACTTGCTTGACTTGTGTATCACAATATGATTTTGAATGTTTTTCTGTAAATGAAATAAAGGCAAAATATTTTGATACTTTCTTTTGTGGAACTTGCAAGAGAAATAAATTACAAATTTATATTACTATCTCTAATATTTCTTTACTATGACTAATTACTTTGAAAAGATAAAGCACTGAACATGATGAATAACAAGAAACAAACATTATCAGAAAAGATTATAGATTTAAAATTGTGTTCATTCATATTGAAGATTAATGAAGTAGACTATCAATATTTACCCTCTTGATGGCTGATACTTTGATTTGATGTCTTTACTTTAAGCTTACACGTCAGTCTCTGTGTGGTAAAATATGAAATAATATGCTTCAATAAAACTGTTTCAGTATATTAATTACATTAGATAAGTACATAGTTTTGAGCTCTTTAACAATATGTGTTTCAATTATCATTCAAATATAATACCCTCTATGTTGTACAACTCACTGATTTATTAGAATTTAAGAAAAGACAATAATTAATACAATTTTTTGGATTAAAATCCATTATATTTATTATAACATATAATGCTATCTCTTGCTATAATAGTTACTTTAAAAATGGGTTATGCCTATAGCACAGTTACCTGAGGATGAAACTAGGCACAGTGATTAGGCACAGTGAGACTGATTAATATCCATTGTAATTGAACATCAGTTGTAGTTATGAAATCTGGATGGCCAAACACACACTCATAGTCCTGAAAAGCAATTTACACATAGATTAGCAAGAATATCTCACTAATTATTAAATTAAAGCTAACCCCTATTTAGTGCAATCCATCAAAGTAGTTGCATTTTTGTTAAGCTGTAGACACAATACAAAGTAATGTTTGTTCTGTGATTTACATACTTTTATAAAATAGCAATCAAATTATATATATATATATATATATATATATATATATATATATATATATATATATATATATATATATATATATATATATATATATATATATATATATATATATATATATATTCAGTGTAAATTTGTAAATTTTAGTTATGTCTTGTTATTAAATTTATTTACTCGACTGATCTAAACTCACTTTATTTAAACATAATATAGTGGATAAGTATAGTGATTTTATTATTCAGCAATAAAAAGCAGGCCTAAAAAAATTTAAATAGTAACGCTTGCGAATGAACACATTAAATTCTATGTATTTCAATTTCTATGTCTTTCCCAACTTGATGCATATTACTAACCAAGCACTAAACTATAGTCCTAAATAATCTTGACTCTAATTACTATTTATCGGACAACCTGAATCTTTGCGATACCATGTTATAATATATTATTTTAAAAAGAGCTTACCACTAATTACTAAAATCAATTGTTTTTAGTATTAACTGAGCCGAATACTATCTGCTGCTATTGTCATCACCAGAAATCCAGTATGTTGGCAAGGTTTAGTCTCTAAGTTCCCTACAACCTCTTTCCTCTCGAGTGCGGAAAACACTGAAATCATTAATCATTATTTCTTTATGCCTAATAGTTTAAAGGTAGTATTAAAGTAGTACTAAATAGTACGAGTCTTAGTTACTGTAACTATGGGTCTAATGAATATTATTATTGTGTATGCTTACATGCTTTAAGTTTTATGCACAATATTGGTATATAATATATAGACTATAGTATATAGCCTAAACTATAGAGTATATATAGGCCTATATGCCTAAATATAACAGCAGCTTGAATAATGCTCATTAGCATGCATTCACTATAAACTTTAAAGATAAACAAATATTTCAATTCAATTTAATTCTAACTAATAATAGTAAATAGGCCTTCTTCTTGTGGTAACAAATTTAAAGTATAGGGCAGTATAGTTGTAGTATAGGCATAGTAGATTCTATATTTAAGTATGTGGGCTTTTCATTCCAATGCACCACAATGGATACTACACATGATCAAGCTTGACCTCTGATCTAAAGATTTAATAATTGGGCCTAACAAACAGTGAAAGTACAATAAAAATCATGTAAATTACTAATTTAAAATTTAACCTTCTTACCTCCGCTTCTGCAGATTCCTATTCTATTTCCTTCAAACTTTCTTTTTATGCAGCCGTATGATTAGATTCTAGACTATATTCTAAACTAACCAGAATACTAGATCTAAATTTCTAGATTCTATGCAGTATGTATTAAACCTATAGGCCTAATATTTATTTTAAATTCCTATGCGATGTGTCGTGAACTGTAGGTTTCATGTTATTTTTTAATGGCGGAAATCAGTTTAAAATTTCGTTTCCTTCGCTTTGTCATTCTATTTATAGATTCTATTTATAGAGTCGGAGTAAAGAAAAGATAGGCTTATTATCATTGAATTAGTCGGGCGATCCACACAGGAAGTGACCGTATATCTATTAGTTACTCAGTGATCCGATCATTGACAGATACAGAGATAGCCATTCGCATGGGGTGGAGTGAGAGAGAGAGAGATAGAGAGATAAAGTGAAATGTACACAGTGACATGACATATAAGCTACAGTTGCATTAACACAATTACATTAAATCTAGAATGCTTATATATTAACATAACATAACATACAGAATGCAAATGAATCGAAAACTATACTTTGACATGCATGTATTGACATGGAAATTGTAACAGCTACATCATGAAATTAACGAGGTAAAACGATAATCATATGTAGACATACATTCTGTAACATCGTGTCCTACTTGATGTAGACCTCTAACTGACGGCTTCTAAATTGCAATATGCAGATCAGTTATATCTAGCTTATATAACACTTACATAATGGCAACTATATTACGATGCAAGTTTCAATGTCATTGATAGTGACAAAAATAAAGCGAAATTCATGAATAAATTTCTTATCAGAAGTTTAATTTGACAAAAACCAGCGGTTAATGCCCCACAGATAAGGCCTGCATAATGCTGACTAGGTAGAAAATGAGTACACAGCGATAGTTGCCTGTAACAGGTTGAACTGAAGGGGTTGAAGTTACACCGTGGAATCGATTTAGGACAACACAGGGGAGGTCACTGATGATATGTTATGGGACGAGCGATACGAGCCTAATTCGTCGCCAGATGGTGTGTAATCCAGGGCCATTATACCGTGTGTCGGGTTTACACACGAAGTATCTTTCAGTTGTTTGTAATGCTGTAGTCAGCTGGGGGAAAATCTAAAAAATATTTAATCCATTGTTATATATCCAAATTTTCAAGTTGTTTTTCGGTAAGTAAACTGTAAAAGTAATGTACAAAATGTATCGAACACTAGTCAATATTTCTTTGTTTTAACATCTTAATTTTTTTTACCTCATTTAAAAGTTGCAGACTAGTCAATTTTCTCCATACAAATGTAATTTGTCACGCTTTAACTATGCGTAACGTAGCTGCTTAGTGCACACAATCATACGACATTTTGCCCCCTCTCCCTCCCCCCCAGCCCTCCCTCCTATCCACAGTGTCTAAAAATGGTGACACGACTAAGAAATCAACAAGACCGTTACATTTTCTTAAAGACAACGCTGTCTTTAAAAATATGATCACGTGATACATTGTTATCAGGGTTCAAATGATAATGTTTCACAGTTTGGTCTACAGCTGTCCTTCAGAACTCGGTAAGTGTCGGAAATGGGTTCACCTGGATCTGATTCACCGACAAGGTCAGGGGGGAGAGCGTGGCGCGCTGGTGGTCACAGACTGGCGCGAATGTGACGCGGAACAGCTGAGCCGGTGCAAGGTCTGGTAATTAAGTCAAGGTTTCACCGGTATTCGTACACATCACGTTGTTTACGATGGTGGGGTGTGTCTTGTAAGGGTTTTCGACTGGTCGAGAGTGGTGCTATATTTAGACCTCCTGTCTCGCATCAGTGGACTTATATTTAATGCGAGAAGTAGATTGAAGGTCTAGTGGCTTAAACTGTAACTTTGCGTAAGTATATATTTCGACAATCTAAAATTTTAGTGTTATATTTTCTTGATCTTTTAGACATTGAATGTTAAAACATGTTTTTGTCATACGCAGGTCTAAAGCGTGTGTTCTACAAAACACTGTTAGACGTCAAGCAGTCCAGAAACGATGACAGAGCCGATAGCGTCAAACGGCCGACATACTTAAAGGACAAAATCGATAAACAAGCATTGCTCAACCTGGAGACTGGTCGAGTTAACTACCACGGGAATAAATCACTGAAGTCAGAAAAAGTTGAACTTTCACCGGAGATGGAGAATAACAATTTTAATGTTTTGGAATATTTTAAACAGTGTAAACTATCTGATGAACTTATCGGTAACAAGGATTTAGCATCAAGCAAAGATTTACAAGCGACGGTGAATATGTTTCTACTATCTAACGTAAATGGCCAAACGCCTTTACATAACGCAGTGCTGTGTAAAGATCTACGAGCGATACGGATTATTCTAAACTGTGGAATATGTGATTTCGATATCCATCACGGCAGAGACTGTTATATCATTTCTGAGTTTCTTCTTCTGGTAAGAGAAAGAAATGATTTACTTGCAATGGAAGATTGTGAAATTATCAAAACACTTATGAATTCTGGGGCGAGAACTGTGTATGACCACTCCGATATAAACGACCCACTATTTTACGCGATGGAATTTAAAAACAGTTACAATCTTATTGTGTATCTATGTCAACGTGGCGCAGATGTCAACGCGTTTGGGTTTAAGAGAAGCCAAACAGCGTTGATGGTCGCAGCTCAAAAGGGGTTGAGTAGAGTTGTGTCCCTGTTTATCAAACAAGGAGCAAGAATCAACGATGGAGAAATGTTCTCGGCATTGAACTCAGCATTGAAACACGGACGAGTGGAGTGCGCGGAGCTACTTATCCAACATGGAGCTGATGTTAATATAAGAACTGCGCTTTGTCTGACTGTAGAAAGCCAAAAACCTGAGTCCCTTCTAGTGTTGATAAAACATTTCCAGCGTGAAATCAACTCGGAGATGGTTGACGTGGGTAAACAACTGTTACGAGTGGCTGTACAGAAGAAAAACAGAGAGCTGATCAGGCTGCTGGTGCAGTGTGGGGCTGACGTCACTCCCAGCTGCTACAGCATCCAGGCCAAGCTTTGGCTGCCGCCCCACCCCTGCGTGGTGGAGGAGCTGGTCAGTCTCTGTAGCGGTGCTTCAGGCGAGAGATTCTACGGCCGGTCTCTCTTGGAATATCTCCTCAACAACTATCACATCATCACGTATAAATTTCCCAAAGAAAAATTCTTGGATAAAGTTAAATCGATCGTAAAAAACGGGGTAAGTCTTGAGACATTGAACAAGTACGATCATACACCACTAATGAGGTCTGTTATTATTCGGAACCTCCCACAGCTGACCAGGATATTTCTAGAAGCAGGCGCAGACGTCAACAGACAAAACAATGAAGGAAAAACCGCCTTGCATTTTGCGGCAGAATCTGGTTCAGTTAAACTTGTTAACGTTCTGCTTGAATTTAACGCTAACGTTAATCTTCAATGCAGTCTCGGTCGGACACCTTTATCTACAGCTGTCGTTAACGACGATGATAAAATAATCTGTTGTTTGTTGGCCAACGGTGCTGATGTAAATACCGAGGACCACGAGGGGAACACACCTTTACTAATCTCCTGTAGATCCATAAAGAAAAATGTTGACGTCCTGAAGCTACTCGTGAAAGCAGGATCAGACGTTGACCACCAGAACAACGACGGGAGAACGGCCCTAATGCTGGCAGCTGAGCTGCAAGACTTTGACATGGTTCATACGCTGTGTCTATCAGGAGCCGACGTTAACGTCGTTAATTTGACGCGCAACGAAACAGCACTGTCCATTCTCTTCAGTTCCCCTAAACTAGACGAGAGTCAAGATTTAAAATGCATTGACTGTTTAATCCAATATGGATCCAAAAACCTATGTTTAGTTCCTACCCATATTCATAAGTGCATTCTTTACAACAGGGTTAGTTACATAAAGCAGTTAATCTTATATGGTGTAGGCCCTGAAGATGTTGAAATACAACACAACAATGCGAACTCAGCATCCTACCTAGTTCATGTTTCACCCATCCAACTTGCTTTAATGCATGGCAATTCAAACATAGCCCAAATATTCCAACAAATGTGGTTTTTTACCAAATCTGATATTCACATACTCATGAACAATAACTCAAAATTAAGGGAAATTCTTAACGCAAAAGGTTATCTCCCCTGCATAGAGTTTTTAGACATCATAAAACGCCAGCCCCTGTCGTTACAGGAATTGAGTTTCCTTACCGTTTCCCAAGCCGTAGGTTCGGATATCGGCAGGAAACAACGGGTACGTCAGCTCGGGTTTCCACAAGTAGTTCAAAACAAACTTATGTTTGAGGAGGTGGGGGATTTTACTTTTGGTGACGATTCGTGATGGTAGTCAGAATATGAAGAAATAGTAAAAAGCGGGGGCGTCACAGGATTTGGGAATATTCAATACTGTCACCTAAATCTAGCTAGGGTGATGTCACTCTGTTATAAAGTGTAAATCACTTTTCAGATGTTGTGAACAAAATTAAACGATGAAGGCAAATTTTCTCATTCTCATATTAAAAAAAACAAAAAACGGTTAAATATGGTTTCATTTATTCATTAAAATTGAATTTGAGCTAAGTTACATTTACGTCACTTTAAAAAAATATTTTTTCACACTATTGCAGTATTGATTATCAGTGTTGCTTCCACACTTCTTTCTCCAGGCGAGCGGGGGGGGGGGGGGTGCACTTGAAATTTTCGGTTGGGAGGGGGGGGGGACTCAATTTTCCGTGGGAAGGGGGGGGTGACACTAGTAAAAAAATATATTTTCCATAAACATTCTGTTTCGTTCTATTTCTCTCCGTCCCCCCCCCCCTCACCCGAAGAGATGCCTGAAAGAAACTGTATATTAGTAGTAGCAGAATATTCTGATATGCTCAGTATACTGGGCACAAATGCACAGTTGATTTTTGTCTGGGATAGTTTGTTTGAGCTAGCATAAATCAAAGGACGACCTGGTACATTTTGTTCAAATATATAGAATAATAATTGTTTTATACAAGAAAAATAAGATGTTTTCATAAGGTAGCTTTTATGTTTATTCAAATATTATGTTATATGTGCTCAAATTTGATGCTTTTTAAACACTTTTTTAACGATGTTGCGAAAATGTAGCAATAGTATTACAAAACTGATGTCTTCTTATTTTTAAGGGTTTTAAGTGTAAAAATAATTGTATGTCTCAATTTAGCCATTGTTTTTTTTTTTAAATTTGTTTTACATGTTATGTAATTTATATATAACGCTATTTTTTTTTTTAAATCTTAAAAAAATAGAAAATGAATATGTTAAAACTAATTTTCTAAAAGACAAACTATAGGGTCATACATTTAAGACGTCAACAAAAATATGACATTTTAACACCCAACCCCCCTGTTTATGTCTTAGATGGATAACCCTTTACTCTGTATATTTATGATGCCTCTAAGAAATATAATAACAGAAATGATTTGACAAAGCACCGTGTCACTTATTTACTTCAACTATACATATTGTAAAGTTCTGCCGGTCACGTATTTATTGATTAACCTAAATATAATCACCTGTATCAGATTGTTTAATAAACACAAATTTCAATGAATTCGAAACAAACCTGGGAATCCGAATGCAGTTTAAATTTGAAATAAGATTTTCATACAAAAATTGATTCCGATATTTTCTAAATTCTATTTGTTTATTATTCTATTACAACGGTTTTAATGATGGGTGGGGTGAGGGTGGGGGAATATTATTCTATATCGCAATTGAAACGACAGGTATAATTATAACTTGTCTGGGTTTGAAGTAGATATACACGTGGAATGACAAAGTTACCTTTAAAAAAATAAGGTTCACAAATTAAAAACAAACAGCGACTTAGCTCTTAGTTATTAGTTTTTGGAATTTATCTTCTACATAATACTGTCGATACATTATTTTAAAAACAAGCCTTTAGCTAAAATGGATTAGAAAACTAATTCCTAATTATATATTAAATTAAAATTATGAAAAGGACGTGCAACCAGGATTAAAATATCAAACCTTCATTTTAAATGGTGCGTTTTTGTTGGCCCTTTTTGTTCTTGTAATCAGAATTTCACATAACTAGATGTCTATAAGAAATTTATCTCACAATGTCTAGGTAATAAAGCACTTTATGATTCAAGGTTGTCATGAGAGTAAGAGCTAGATGCTGTCATATTAAAGTAATTAGCTGGGTAAAGTTGGCCTGTGACACACAGAACTTAACAGAGTAAAAGCTAGATGCTGTCATATTAAAGTAATTAACTTTGTAAAGTTGGCCTATGACTCACGGAACTCAACTGGAAGTTAAAATATTGTGTGTGTCTATGTGTGTGTGTCTGTGTGTGTCTGTAGGTGTCTTTAGGTGTCTGTGTGTGTCTATGTGTGTGTTTGTCTATATATTTGTGTGTATGTGTGTCTATGTGTGTGTCTATGTGTGTGTGTGTCTGGTTATGTGTGTCGTGTATTCATGTTTACATAGGATCCTGTGGGGAGGCTTAGCGTTGAAATCAGAAGGACGCCAAATGTCGTTAATGACGAGCATTAAACTCACATAACACTTATGTAGAAATCGGAGGGTTTCGTCTTCTTTTTCTTCGTTCTTAATTTTTAAAGTTGGACGGGATTCCCTTCAACCCAATTAAATATTACCTGTCAACTTATTATTCGCAATAAATAAAGCGAGTTCAGTCTGATAACTCCGAATTTAGCCTGCTTTTCTTTTTGGATTTGCTTCCATAGCCTTTATCCAACCAAGAACAGATTATAAGGCAGCAGTTATTTCATTTTGGAGTTGTATCTTCTAGAAAAGTTGCCCCAGTTATTGAGCCTCATCAGCCCGGGTTTTCGAACTCGAGACATGGCCTTTACCGACTCGACCACGCCGTTTTCTAAACTGTGCAATGGTTGCCTACATAACGTTACACACTGAACACACCAGTTTCGTGTAGAAATCGGAGGGTTTTTAAAAAGACCGTTTGTAGAGCTCGTAGTGTCACACAATAAAAACATCATTTCAATCTGCCTATAGGTGCTGTCATAAATCATAAAATCCGATGGCATTAATTTCAAAGTTCGCATAAAGGCATCCATTTATTTATATCGTCCATTTAGTACAGGGGTCTCCAAACTACGGCCCGCGGGCCGGATGCGGCCCGCGATGTCCACTAATCCGGCCCGCGGAGATCTTTTTGTCCATGGAAAAATCGTTTGTCGGTGATGGCTGAGGAACTTTGCCCAGAAAAATCAAAGACATGCCTGGAAGAAACTGGCCCCCGAACTGAAATTTGATATTTAATGCGGCCCTCGGACTGAAAAGTTTGGAGACCCCTGATTTAGTATAATAGAAAAGTTTATCCAGTTAGCAAAACACGCATGGATCTGTGCACTCTTGTACTTATTCTAATCATAACCATCAGTTTCTGAACGGGCTTTGCAAAGCAATTTTCTTATTAAAATTTACCATAATTAATTTTTAACAACTGTTTCAACCACCAACCCGTCTGATTTATGATTTTGTCTGTTGTATTTAATAATAAAAGCCAACTGATAAACTTTAAGTTTGCCTACAAACAATCGACAGGTGATTTTTTTTGTTCCTACAACATTTTGCATTATCCTACTGATGTCACCCATTCAGTTGGTTTCACAAGATTCGAACTGAACCCTCAGCGCTCTGGTGAGACGCGGCAGGGTTACTTAAGATTTTGTTTAGCTACGAGTGCGTATTCAAGATAGTTGTCCAAAATAAAATGTTCGAGTACATTTTTTTTTTCGAACATATGAACTAGTCACGTGAAACAATTAGTAACTTAAAAACAAACCCCATCTTTTCTCCACTGAACAATTCTGTTAGATATAGGTTTCATGCTTTATATTTTCTGTGATATTTAATTGAACTGATACGAAAAGAGTAGTGATTTAAATGCCTGGGCGGGTGTTGAAAACTAAAATAACCAAAATGCTTATTTTTAAACCTAATTCTATAATATTTAGCTTATAGTTATGACTCAAAGAGTTAAGTCTAAAAATAAATAAACCGGGAGTGATCTCCCTTAAACTTTCTCGAATATTCTTATATAAAACAACAGGGCAAGGCAACTTGGGATATTGAAATTATTTTTAATCCATTTTAAACAATTAATTTTTTTAAAATAAAATAAAATCTCGTAGAAAAAAGAATTGCAAACCAAGTGCACGCCAAAAAAATAGTACGGAATATTATTAGTACTTTATAAATTCTCATGCATTTTATCGTTTTATGAGAAATTGGAAATAGCATAAATTACTACTTCCGGTCAACGGAAATTACTCAAAATTTAACAGCAGGCAGAAAATTAGATCTTTTACTTACATGTCAAATTTCATTTATCTATCGGAACTAGTATTCAAGTTATATGCTTGTGAAAAAGCAAAAGTAGAAAAAGTTCCACTTCCGGTTATCGGAAATCGCTGAAAAGTTTATTTGATACGGATCTACGATTTTGATAAAATACTTACATATGAAATTGCATCAGTCTAGCTGTAACGTTACTCAAGTTTTCGTGTTTATAGACACACACACACACAAACACACACAGACATACAGACAAGATTACAAAACTATGTTTTTCCGACTCAAAGAGCTGTAAAACGTCGAGATTTGCAAAAATCTCGATTTTTTTTTTGCACGATTACAAGACTTTCTCTATACTTCGTATGTACGAGAAAGTAAAAAATGGCCGAAAAATAAGCATTTGGTCACTTTGGTATTCATCACCCACCCATGATACCCTTTCGTACGTTTTCGCTTCGCTAGAGGTACTTTTTGGCCCCATATGCGGGTAATAATAGTACAGCTTTGTAAATGTTTTGTCTTAATTACTGTGCTCTTTTTTTAAAAATAATTACGCATTTTAAAATACTAGCCGTCCCGGCCAGGCCCTGCACTGGCATCTCTGAAAAACATATCTGTAAAGGACCATAACTTGTGTGTTTAGTAATCAGCATTTATCAGGCTTTGCCCACCCTAACCACAACCAACCAAAACATACAAAAAACGCAAACATAACACTAACACAAAAAAACACAAACGAAAACACAAAAACAAACGCAAAGACAAACCCAACCACAAACACAAAGAAAACACAAATACTAACGAAATAAAAAAAGCAAACGAAAACAAATCCAAACGCAAACACAAACCCAACCACAATCAAACAACACCAAAACACAACAAAAAAAAGCAAACATAACACAAACGCAAAAACAAACACAAACAAAAACACAAAACAAACACAAACACAATCACAAACACAAAGAAAACACAAACACAAGGAAAAAAAGCAAACGAAAACAAACCCAAACCCAAAGCCAAACACAAACACAAACGATAACCCAAACTCAAACACATAGAAAACACAAACGCAAAGATAAACTCAAAGTGTCCACAGTCTAGCCCTGAGCGCCAAATCGCACTATGACGTCGTGCGGCGTAACCGCCTGATTCAACTTAGTAAACGACTATAGTATCCAACTTATTCATAGTCTTTTGAACTCACTTACGCAAACGTAGGTACCATAGCGTACACGGGAAGGCCCGGGGCGCCAAATAGCACCTTGTCGGGGTACCGGGGGACGCCCGGATTTGATTCACTTAAAGACTAGTAACCTTTCTTATCCATAGTCTACCGCACTGTTTAAAACAAAATTATGCAGCATAGCGCTCACATGATAGCCCAAGGCGCCATATTGAACCGTGCAGGGGCGCCGACGGACGCGCCTGTTTCAATTTAGTGAACAAAATTATAATACTCCAAGCTTATCCGTAAATGGAAAGAAATAAACATATAGGATTTATAGGACCTGGCTTATTAAATTTTATTGATTTAAAAAAACAATTAGTGAACAGTATGATCAGTGTTAAGAATAAATAAAAGGCGGTATTAAAAATACCAACGACATTGCACTTAATCAATCCCCGCTAATTGTGTTTTTTTTTTCTTAACACCAAAACAAAGTAATAAAAAGTAAATTCATTCTTTCCCCGATTTTTTTTAAAGGGAAGTAACTGTGTAGTCAATACATTTCAGACACAATTTTACACATTTTATAAACGTTGATACACTTTTTAAAAATTGTATGTATTGTTCATAATTGAAAATTATTATTTTAAGTATATACAATGAAAATTGTTTTTAAAGACTTTCAATAGTAATTTTTTTACTCATAAATTTAGACCATGAGCATTATAATAATCTAACACCTAAATCCATGCCAGTATCCACGACAAATATTTTACAAACACACATTTTACAAAAATTTTACATACAGAAATGAACTTTATATATTAGATTTTTAGTCCCATTTACAAATAAGATAGCTTCAAAATCAAAATAGCTTCCGACATGAAGTTTCTTTTTTACCATATTTCTTTTTTCCTTAGGGGTACAAATTAACCCCATTTATATATATATATATATATATATATATATATATATATATATATATATATATATATATATATATATATATTTATATATATATTTATATATATATTTATATTTATATTTATATTTATATATATATATATATATAGTGTTCCTTCCTATGTTTTGTTTTCGCCAGTGGGAGTGAAATTTAGTTAATCACATATATATGCTTACATGCTAGCAGGCGGTTTTGTTTTTGTGGAAGCTGATTCTGGTGTTTAACAGTTTATATTGGCAATGCACATCTGCACTTATGTCTATTGTTTGATGTGAGTTTCAATTACAACAGTACTAATTGAAAACATCTGTTTGTGCCATTCATTCTTTTTTTGTACAAGCTAAAATCAATTGATTTAATTGCCTGCTGTAAATTAATTGTAGGTATGTTTTCAAAGCTCATAATTAACACCCTAGCAACATATGGGTTGATGCATGGACGAATCTATACCAATGTGCCACGTATTCTAAATAACATCTCATTATCCGAGCTGTTCTGCATATGGACGAATCAGTATTTGATCTTGTTTGTATAAATATTTTCTTGAACTTCTTTGAAGAACTTGTGCCACACGGAGAAAATGTGGATAGCCAGATTGGAATGTGTCCTCTGCTGTATACTCTTTGCAGCACCAGGTTCATCTTGTTATTTATATACATGTCATAACTTTTATAAATATTTTGTTTATATGCATCTCTTACTAGGAATATTTATTTTTAAAAATGCATAACATTTAAAAATATTTTATTTATATAGGCCTACATTTCTTACTAGCAAAATATATTATTTTAAAAGATTTCATAACTTTTATAAAATACTAGGCATGCTGCCCAGCTTCGCTTAGGCTTTCAAAAACATTGTGAATTTGAATGCTTAATTAATTTGCCCGAGGGTCGGTCTACGACCTCAGGAGTTATGAAGAGGTTCCTACGTGGACACATTTTTTTCGATTTATAGCTCATATCGAGGTCTGTTTTGACCCCCTCATCGTAGACCCTTAGGCCAACCGGCACCGGCCCCGTGTTCTGTTGCCCAAAGGCAAGATCCTGCCAAATTTGAAGCGCCCGCGGCGCCGAGAAGTGCCCGATGTCGGGCACCCGACAACTTTGCATCATATATTATAGAGATTAGCAAATTGCATAGATAAACCAAGACTTCCAAAGTAGTTCCTTTCTTTATAGTCTAAAATAGAATCTCTAGATCTAGATGATCTAGAATCTCTAGATCTAGAATCTCTAGATCTAGAATCCAAATAGATAAAATAATTCTTTAAGTTTAGGCCGAGAAAATCGTATTGCATAGTCTACATTTAATAGCGTACATAGCTCTAAATCATATTTGAATGAAATAGTTCATTTCTTTTTATTCTTAATTCGGAAGATGACGTCATCAGTTTCGTGTTCTTTTTTTAGTGTAAACAATACGCGACGTCATTGTTAAATGCGTTCTTGTCCCAAGTTTAAACACTTTTCCGGTTGCATAAATAAAATTGTTTTTCTACATTCGAATACGCCTTTATGTTTAATTTTTCTTCTTTAAATAAAATTGTGGTTATACATTTAAAACATCTAACATATTATTTTCAACAAAAGTCCGTATAAAGTTCTTCATATATCGCTGCAGTTTCTGACGTGATGTCCGGCGAAAATATTTTGTGGACAGACAGAGAGAGAGAGAGAGAGAGAGAGAGAGAGAGAGAAGTGCGCACGGGGTTTTTTATATATTAGGATTGTTATATATATATATATATATATATATATATATATATATATATATATATATATATATATATATATATATGTTTCTTACTAGCAAAATATATTATTTTTAAGAAATTATTTTTTTTATAAAATATCGTTTTTTATATAAGCTAAAAACTTAGTAGCGTAGTGCATGCCCTATACAACCCCCTATTTTTTTTCTAGTTCTATTGACCAAAACCATAAGGAAAAAGCAAAAACATAGAAAAGAATTTTAGAATTTAATAAAGCAATTAATGTTTTAAATTCGTAAATGCACGATTTTTTTGTTTTCTTGTAAGCTGGTATGATTTCCCTAAGACAGTTCACATATAGTTAAACGAGAAACATTGCGTTGAATGCCATGAGAAAAACACTGACATGACATTCTATTAAAATCATCATAAATATAATAGCAACTGACAATGAGATATACAGATATACATGCCTTGCTGAACTGACACAAGTTTTAAGCTGTTTTAAAATCAAAAGACAGGCAATGTTAAATGGCAGTTAAACTAGGTCTTATTTTCAGGCAAAAATTCCAATAGCGATATATAAGAGAGAAGGCTAATTCGATTATACAAATTAAAGTCAAAAGTTGCTTCTCGAAAGGTTTTGAAGATCACCTGCTCTGTTCTCTAATCTGTACAAATCCTTTACTTAACAATACATCACTAAAAATGTTGTATGTTTCTAAACTTGTCTAAAAGACCACAATTATTTGCAAGAAATCGGTTGGTTATTTCTAACAAACATAAATTCCTGATTAGTCCATAGATAATGTAAATTTAAAAACAATTTAATAATTCGTTACCATTTATTGTTTTCTGTTAATTACATTTCAATTATATCATTTTAAGGCTTTTGTTATATATCTGTTGAGCCTCCTGTCTTGTTTGGTAGACAATACCAACTCTTTTTGCCAGTAAAACTGTGCTTAGATCTGCTTCTTGTATACAAAAACGAAATTTACATACATATGAATTAACTGGAAAACAAGTTTATAGTTAATTCCCAAAAATGGGATTCATTTTATTAGCTTTTAATCAACTCACTCTAGTTATAAAAATCTAGTTAGAAGTTTTTGTTACCTAGTTGTGGAACCTTCTGTCTGGTTTGGTCCAAAGAACGAATTTCTGTGTCATTGTGAAAAGAACCATTGCAACATACATGGGGAGTGCGTGCATGGATCAAAGTGCTCACGGGGATGGTTTGGTCGGACGTGCCAATACTGTAAGCTGTAAATGTTGCTTTTATTAAATAAAGGGTATTTCTCTTTCTGAAAATAATATGATCTTCGATTTTGTGTATTTGCATATATATATATATATATATATATATATATATATATATATATATATATATATATATATATATATATATATAAATATATATATATATATATATATATATATATATATATATATATATATATATATGTATATCTTCTCCTTAAATCTTCTTGTACACTATCATGAAATCAGGAGACTATCTCAAACAACACAAACGAACTTAAGTAATATTTCTTTGACAGTTAATATGTAATAACTTCAACAAAAATAACACACCTACATCAAGTCAACACACCATAAAGTCAAACACCGCACACCCTCAATCTATTAGTCCGCTGAAATGACACACATTTTTTACATCACAGATTAAATTTGCTAACGTAAAAGATATTTTTCAGTTGACATACTTGGTAGTTTTAACAACCAACACACTTTGACTGACGGGGATGATAAAACATGCCTAGGCCCTAATTCGGGAAATGTTAACTTAACGCTCGGAGCAACGTATCCATTTTCCAGTATTCGTTTGGTATATCAAGACGGTGAGTTTTGACAAAATGCTATGTTTTGCAAAGAGTTTTACTTTTACATCTGATTTTTATGAAGACGGTGGTATACAGGCTACTATTCAATGTAAAAAAATAAAACATTAAAGCTTACAAATAAATACTTCAAAAGTTATCCTATTATATCGTCAAAAAATTGCGTAATCAGAAAAGGGCGCACACAGATATTTTTTTCCGTCGCAGTGGGTTTTTTTTTTGCATTTTTCCGTTTCGCATTTTTCCGCTTACCAGTTTGTTGGTGTGGGGTAAAAAAAAACCCACTGTACATTAACATGAAAATACACCTGTGATAAAAAATAAAACAGCGTCGACCAAAACGTTTTATATCCATGCGAAAATGCCCAAGTTCGAATCAAATAAATGTGATTTTTGTCCTTGTTTCAACAAGATATTGATATTGATAATGATAATGATAATGATAATGATAATGATAATGACAATAATAATGATAATGATAATGATAATGATAATGATAATGATAATGATAATGATAATGATAATGATAATGATAATGATAATGATAATGATAATGATAATGATAATGATAATGATAATGATAATGATAATGATAATGATAATGATAATGATAATGATAATGATAATGATAATGATAATGATAATGATAATGATAATGATAATGATAATGATAATGATAATGATAATGATAATGATAATGATAATGATAATGATAATGATAATGATAATGATAATGATAATGATAATGATAATGATAATGATAATGATAATGATAATGATAATGATAATGATAATGATAATGATAATGATAATGATAATGATAATGATAATGATAATGATAATGATAATGATAATGATAATGATAATGATAATGATAATGATAATGATAATGATAATGATAATGATAATGATGATGATGATGATGATGATGATGATGATGATGATGATGATGATGATGATGATGATGATGATGACGATGACGATGACGATGACGATGACGATGACGATGACGATGACGATGACGATGACGATGACGATGACGATGACGATGACGATGACGATGACGATGACGATGACGATGACGATGACGATGACGATGACGATGACGATGACGATGACGATGACGATGACGATGACGATGACGATGACGATGACGATGACGATGACGATGACGATGACGATGACGATGACGATGACGATGACGATGACGATGACGATGACGATGACGATGACGATGACGATGACGATGACGATGACGATGACGATGACGATGACGATGACGATGACGATGACGATGACGATGACGATGACGATGACGATGACGATGACGATGACGATGACGATGACGATAACGATAACGATAACGAAAACGAAAACGAAAACGAAAACGAAAACGAAAACGAAAACGAAAACGAAAACGAAAACGAAAACGAAAACGAAAACGAAAACGAAAACGATGTTGATGTTGATGTTGATGTTGATGTTGATGTTGATGTTGATGTTGATGTTGATGTTGATGTTGATGTTGATGTTGATGTTGATGTTGATGTTGATGTTGATGTTGATGTTGATGTTGATGTTGATGTTGATGTTGATGTTGATGTTGATGTTGATGTTGATGTTGATGTTGATGTTGATGTTGATGTTGATGTTGATGTTGATGTTGATGTTGATGTTGATGTTGATGTTGATGTTGATGTTAATTTAATGTTGATGTTGATGTTGATGTTGATGTTTATGCTGATTTTGATGTTATGTTGATGTTATGTTGATGTTATGTTGATGTTGATGCTATGTTGATGTTGATGTTGTTGTTAATGTTAATGTTGATGTTTATGTTGATACTGGGGTTGAGGTTGCGGTGGAGATTCACGTTATGTTAGTGATTGCGGTTGAGGCTAAGAAGGATTGGGAGGTAGCGGTGTTGATTTAGGTTGAAGTGAATGAAAAGGGAGTGATGAAATGGAGAAATGATGTGGCGAAAGAGGCGTATGTGTGTGTTGAATTTGAGATGTAGATTACGGTTAAAATTCTAAAGGCAAAAAAAAACACAGCTTCGCATTAAGTAAAAAGTTAATAAAATATAATGTTCAATCAGGTATGACATTGAGTAAAGCACCGGACCTGGTTTTAGGATGTGCCACGAAAACATACGCTCTCAACAACCATATTTGGGATTACTTCTGTGAAGACTACGTAACAGTTAACCATGTCGAACTGAAAGGGAAGACACCACACAATTTGTGTTCTGTTTATTTCAGTGGTGGTTTGTGGATATTTTATTTAAAATTTAACTTTTGTAATGGGGTAATTCATAATGACGTCTAGCTTGTTTGACGATTTACTGGTGTCTTCATTAAATGACGTTAAACTCGAAGAGGGGAGGAGGGTCCATAATTTTTTACCGTATGTGATACGGGGGAGGGGGGGGGGGGTTCAAAAAATGTGACATCACACTTTTGCATTATATTAAATCCATATTAGAAAATGAATTTTAGCTGCTATTTTGCGTTTTAGAAAACTGTTTTAATAAACTGTAATAGAAATTGGTTAAAATACTCTATATTGACAGTGTTCTGACACGATTTTGGAAAAATATCGATGCTTTGAGTAAAACAACTGCAGATTTGAGGCGGTAGGGTTGTAGCATGAAGTGTGTCGTCGTTTAGGGGAGGGTCTGGCTTTTTGTAACGATGTGTGACTCAGGCGAGAGGGTGGGAGGTAAAAAACGTCAAAAAAAAGCTTGACGTCATTTGAGGATTACCCTTTTTGAGTTTCCCCCCTCCCCAATATCACACATCTTTACAAAATCCAGAACCCAACATCTAAAAAGACTGAACACTTCAGCCAACATCGCTTAAATCACACACAAAAAAAAACGTTTTGTTTGAGCATGGTGCGACAACATCATCACTTTATTTGCTGAGGTGACGGAAACTGGTGAACTCTACTTCACCTGCCTCTTGTTACGCCTGTCCGAAAGGCAATTTTACCACACACATCCGAAAGGAAGTCACAATTCAGCTTACATGTATTTGTCTTTTAAAAACATAATTCATTTCCATAATATTTTCTCAGCTCGAACCTCTTATGAATAAACTATTTGAAATCAATTAGAACCATTAGCGCTAGTTTTGAATTCTCACAGTACACTTTCTATGTAGGAAAGTTAAACCAAAAAAAGTTAAACACTGATTAGATGTAATTCGATCCTATGCTAGGTAAAATAGTCGCTAAGTCATGGTCATCTCGGCCAGCAAGACACATACTTTTTGGTAAAAACATTTCTTATTTCCTAAATAGGGCCTACTCCCATTTTATATTTTGACGGGAGGCTACTCTTCATATAAAGTAAAATTACGTCAAATAACATTTATCCTATTCCATTACGATGAAACAGTGATTTATATGAAATATTTAAAGCCGGAAATAGTTAAGTAAAATTACTCAATAATTTATTGTGTTTTAATACCTTTTATCGCTAGATCTAGATACATTTATTGTATTCTCGTATAAAAAAAAACTTACAAGCGTATGCTATTGAAAATCGATACCAGCGTTGAATCCTAATAAAAAAAAACACCAAACAGACTTATCTTTAAAGCGATAGCCGACAGGAAATGTCGCTTTTTATTACTTTTTTAATAGCTGACAACAGCATAATTTCCGTATTTTGTGATATTAAGTGTTTATTCTCATATTGTATAATAAAAATTTGTTTTTAGGCATGAAGGTAACAAAAATTTAATTTAAACATTTAAATTCCTTTGTGTATAGCATATATTTAAAAATAAAGCTGGAGTGATATACATTTAACTTTCTCAAATACTATATATAAAAGTAAATGTCAACTCCACTGCAGTCGGGATAATGACATCTTTAAAAAAAGTTTTTAAATACAATTTGTGGATAACGGTGCGGAATATTAGAATTGAAATAGACTACCCGTTATCTAGTTAGATAACTGTGGGTTTCGGGGGGGGGGGGGGGGGTCATCCACAAATGACATCACATCTGTCGGCGTGGTCGAGTCGGTAAAGCTCATGGTTGCTAAACCGAAAAGTCTCGAGTTCGAACCCTCGGGCAGATGAGGCTCGTTAGTTGGGGACAGCCACTCTTCTAGGAGAGACAACTCCAAAATTAAAACAACTGCTGCCTTGTAGTTTGTTCTTGGTTGGACAAAGGCTATGGAAGCAAATCCAAAAAGAAAAGCAGGCTGAAATCGGAGTCAATGGCCTCAATGGCGCATAAACAGTTGACACGTAACGCTTAATTGTGTTGGAGGCGTGGTCGAGTCGGCAAAAAGCTCATAGTTGATAAATTCGAACAAAGTCTCGAGTTCAAACCCACTGGCAGATAAATCTCGATCCCCTTCAACACTAATAATTAAGAACGAAGAAGAAGAAGAAGACTCAGAGGCGTAGCGACTCTTTTTTCGGCGCCCGGGGACAAACTTTTCAATTTGAACCCCCCCCCCCCCCCCCCCCCCCCCCCCGGCAAGGTTTCGATGTGCATCACCCCTTCCCTCAAGATTTCGATTTGCACCCTTCCCTCCTCAAACTTTCGATTTGCACTCCCCTCAACCTTTCAATTTATTTTTCCAACCCATTTTGGCGCCCCTAAGGTCGGCGCCCGGGGAAATATGTCCCCCCCCTCGCTACGCTACTGCAGTGTCACTTATCGTCACAAAAAAACAGACCCCCACATTCAAAAAGATGTTTTTTATCTTTTAAAAACACGGAAAACACCGATTTCGGTCTATCCCTTTATATACTGACGTCACAAGTGACTAACTCAACTCTACTTCACCTGCCCAGTGTCCCGCCAAGTCTCAGACAACATGTTTTTATCGTTTAAAAAAAACGATTCCAGCCGAGCATGTCTCTGACAACACTATCCCTTTATATGCTTAGGACAAAGAAACAGATGAACTCTACTTCACCTGCCCTGTATCCCGCCAAGTTCAGATACGCAACTTTATCATTCACATCTAAAAAATGAAATAAAAATTGAAAAAAATAATTATCATTAGCGTATTGGTCTGGAACCCGTGCCATACGCATGCAAGCCGATTACACTAACAACTTAGCTATTTAACTCTGAAGTAACAGGTTCATTTTTATACTATAGTTTAATACTTTGAGTCTCCTTATGCAACTTGATTTACGCGCATAGATCTAGATCTAAGTCTAGTAGTAGTAGCTTTCAAATTAAATTTTATCTTTAATTAGCCAAACAAAGATTAATATAAAATAATGAAGGTCTGAAATTATCTAGATCTAGATAGAATTATCTAGATCTAGATTCTACGACTCGTTTGCTTAAGTCTAGTATTTGCGTAACTCTTGCTAGATCTAGAGATCTAGATCTAGATCTAGATCTAGATCTAGAAATTCTAGATCTAGGATCTAGATCTAATCATTAGAATCTAGACCACTTCTAGCTAGATAACTCTAGATCTAGATAGATAAATCACAAAGATTTATATAAAGTATTTAAGGACTAAAAATGTATTATGATTATAAAATGGATTGTATTTTTTATCTAATTAATCTTTGGTATGTATCTAATTAATCTTTTATTTGACCTAGATTCTAGATCTAGATCTATAAATAACTTGCTTGGTCACATGATATTTTTAGATCTATAAATAACTTTCTTGGTCAGATTGTAGAGCTAGAGAAATTTATTGTAAATCTAAATGAAAAAGACAGTTGAAAATTTATATAAGTGTTGGAACGTAATAAAAGCAGCAAACGGACGTATTGTTAAAGTTATGGCCGACAGAAAAATTAGATTTAGAACGCGTTAAACTTTTAAATGGGGCGATGATGGAAGCCGCCATTTTATTGTACTAAAAAGTAAACAAAAACTGTGACGTCACTGTTTCGTCGAGTCTAGTGGTTGTTCTAATCTTTTAATATAAATGTGGTTAATCTACCTATGAATAAATCAATAAATTAATTAACGTCTTTAAATAAATTTGTGATTAACAGTCTGTCTTAAAACAAAAATTGTTCTCTACCTACATACTATTTTACAGCTGTCCACATAGAGTAGAATTATTTACAATACTTAATCAGACAAACAAACAAAAAAAAATATTCAAACATGTAAACAAACTTGAGTTTTAGTAGTGTACTAGACTACCCGTTATCTAGTTAGATAACTGTGGGTTTCGGGGGTCATCCATAAATGACTTCACGTCTGTCAGCACTTATCATCCCAAAATAACCAGACCCCACATTCAAAACGACGTTTTTTATATTTAAAAAAACTACTAAACTCTACTTCACCTGCCCCGTGCCCCGCTAAGTCTCAGACATGTTTGTATTTTTAAAAAAAAACGATTCCGGCCGGGCATGGCTCTGGCCACACTATCCCTTCATATGCTAACTCTCAGACATGTTTGTATTTTAAAAAAAAAAACGATTCCGGCCGGGCATGGCTCTGACCACACTATCCCTTCATATGCTGAGAACATAGAAACAGATGAACTCTACTTCACCTGCCCTGTGCCCCGCGATGTCCTGATAGTCAACCTCATCATTCATATAATGGCCTTGAGAAAAAATAGTTGAAAACATTGTTGTAAAAGGAAAATAACTCATTACGATTACTTAATTCATTGTTCTAAACTTTTATAATTAATGTAGTTAATCTACCAATGAATATATCAATAAATTAATTAACGGCTTTAAATTAGTTTGTAATTAATAGTATGTTTAAGAAAGAACAATATTTACAGCCCTACACATAATGCAGATTCTCCTCAATTTCAAATAAAAAAACAAACAAACGAAAAATGAGTTATCAAACGTCACTATTCAGTCAAAGTTTAGCCATTGTTCTATAACTTTAAAATTAATGTGGTTAATCTACCTATGAATAAATCAATAAATTAATTAACGTCTTTAAATAAATGTGTGATTAACAGTCTGTCTGCAATCAAACATTATTCTCTACCTACATACTATTTTACAGTTCCCCATATAGAGCAGTTTCTTTACAGTACCAAATCAGACAAAGAAATAAATATTCAAACATGTAAACAAACTTGAGTTTTAGTAGTATATAGATAATGAAGGTCTGAAATTATCTAGATCTAGATAGAATTATTTAGATCTAGATTCTACGACTCGTTTGCTTAAGTCTAGTATTTGCGTAACTCTTGCTAGATCTAGAGATCTAGATCTAGATCTAGATCTAGATCTAGATCTAGAAATTCTAGATCTAGGATCTAGATCTAATCATTAGAATCTAGACCACTTCTAGCTAGATAACTCTAGATCTAGATAGATAAATCACAAAGATTTATATAAAGTATTTAAGGACTAAAAATGTATTATGATTATAAAATGGATTGTATTTTTTATCTAATTAATCTTTGGTATGTATCTAATTAATCTTTTATTTGACCTAGATTCTAGATCTAGATCTATAAATAACTTGCTTGGTCACATGATATTTTTAGATCTATAAATAACTTTCTTGGTCAGATTGTAGAGCTAGAGAAATTTATTGTAAATCTAAATGAAAAAGACAGTTGAAAATTTATATAAGTGTTGGAACGTAATAAAAGCAGCAAACGGACGTATTGTTAAAGTTATGGCCGACAGAAAAATTAGATTTAGAACGCGTTAAACTTTTAAATGGGGCGATGATGGAAGCCGCCATTTTATTGTACTAAAAAGTAAACAAAAACTGTGACGTCACTGTTTCGTCGAGTCTAGTGGTTGTTCTAATCTTTTAATATAAATGTGGTTAATCTACCTATGAATAAATCAATAAATTAATTAACGTCTTTAAATAAATTTGTGATTAACAGTCTGTCTTAAAACAAAAATTGTTCTCTACCTACATACTATTTTACAGCTGTCCACATAGAGTAGAATTATTTACAATACTTAATCAGACAAACAAACAAAAAAAAATATTCAAACATGTAAACAAACTTGAGTTTTAGTAGTGTACTAGACTACCCGTTATCTAGTTAGATAACTGTGGGTTTCGGGGGTCATCCATAAATGACTTCACGTCTGTCAGCACTTATCATCCCAAAATAACCAGACCCCACATTCAAAACGACGTTTTTTATATTTAAAAAAACTACTAAACTCTACTTCACCTGCCCCGTGCCCCGCTTAGTCTCAGACATGTTTGTATTTTTAAAAAAAAAACGATTCCGGCCGGGCATGGCTCTGGCCACACTATCCCTTCATATGCTAACTCTCAGACATGTTTGTATTTTAAAAAAAAAAACGATTCCGGCCGGGCATGGCTCTGACCACACTATCCCTTCATATGCTGAGAACATAGAAACAGATGAACTCTACTTCACCTGCCCTGTGCCCCGCGATGTCCTGATAGTCAACCTCATCATTCATATAATGGCCTTGAGAAAAAATAGTTGAAAACATTGTTGTAAAAGGAAAATAACTCATTACGATTACTTAATTCATTGTTCTAAACTTTTATAATTAATGTAGTTAATCTACCAATGAATATATCAATAAATTAATTAACGGCTTTAAATTAGTTTGTAATTAATAGTATGTTTAAGAAAGAACAATATTTACAGCCCTACACATAATGCAGATTCTCCTCAATTTCAATAAAAAAACAAACAAACGAAAAATGAGTTATCAAACGTCACTATTCAGTCAAAGTTTAGCCATTGTTCTATAACTTTAAAATTAATGTGGTTAATCTACCTATGAATAAATCAATAAATTAATTAACGTCTTTAAATAAATGTGTGATTAACAGTCTGTCTGCAATCAAACATTATTCTCTACCTACATACTATTTTACAGTTCCCCATATAGAGCAGTTTCTTTACAGTACCAAATCAGACAAAGAAATAAATATTCAAACATGTAAACAAACTTGAGTTTTAGTAGTATGTAGATAGATAAAGAAAGCCTGTTTTATTTTCAAATGAAGTAAATTTTTATGTCAAAATACATTCTCTTCAAGTCTTGACCTACTTTTAAAGTTTAATATAACTGCGCCCGGTATAATTTGATTTTGAAAATTTAAATAAATATGTATATAAAATATTTTGAAAAATGAAAATGTATCCATAGGAAAAAAAGAATTTCAAAGTTTTACACATAGTTACAGTGCACATTTTCTAATCAAGAGAAGCTTAAAAAAAGATACAAAATATGTCAATTTAGCTAAAGATTAGTAAAGTATGCCTATAGATTTCTGCAAAACTAAACATGTTAAAAAATAATTAAACCCTTTTAATAAAAACCATAAATGCATAGTTTTTGTTTTTAATGTAATTTTCAACATTATTTTCTAATTTTCAACATTTATTGAAATTAACCATATATTCTAAGAAAATCTATATAAAGACATCTGTATATATATATATATATATATATATATATATATATATATATATATATATATATATATATATATATATATATATATATATATATATATATATCTATATCTATATAAATATATATATATATATATATATATATATATATATATATATATATATATATATATATATATATATATATATATATATGTTACAGTCAAAGCCCGAATTCGGCCAAAGCGGGCATTGACCGGCCAATGCGCGAATTGTCAATATCGCCTCCAATTGACGGGCCAAAGTCCAAAACTTTACTTAATTTAGGCCTTTTACCGGGCAATCCGCGGACTGGCCATGGTGGACCGGCTAAATTCTGAAATGGCACTTGATTTTGGCATTTGGCCGGCCATTCCGCGGACTGGCTATTGTGGACCGGCCAGTCTGAATTAGAAATCATCTGGCTAGGGACGACCGGTCGCAGTCCGAATTAGAAGATCGTGAGCAGGTTTTTTCAATACCGTAAGGATCATACAAATTAAGTTTTTGTTGATTATTATTTAGAATTACATTGTAATTTGTACATTTGCAGCGATTTGTTGTAGATTAGGTTGTAGTCTTGGCCACCGGTCAGTGATTGTGACGATGCGATGGTTCGTAGTGATTTTCCTCAGTGCCAAGGTGGGACAATTTTTTTCGTGAAGAATTGAAAACACACTTCCAGTATACAGTTATTTTGGAACATCAGGTTCCGTTCCTAGCTTGTAGAAAGCGTCGGGGATCACCACGACTTCTGTCAACATCTGGAATACGGATGCAACCAGTATCTTTCACTTCAGCTTGTTTAAATTTTGTTAGCATCTTTGCACCTTGAGTTTGCTAGCTAGTGTGACCTGTTGTCCATGATTTCTTGTTTATTGTGACATAATCTGCAAGTACTCTTCCCTTCGTATCCTTCGTCTGCTTCATTGGCTATTTCGCATGGACATCGTTGCCTCAGGATCCACAAGAATGGGCTGCACTACAATATTTTTTCACAAACTACACAGAATCTGTTGGCCTTATTATTGTCACCATTTGTTCAATGTTCACAAGATCTTCCTCAGTAGCTAAACTATCGAGAGCCTCTCTTGGTAGATTTGAAGTGCTAATTCCCACTTTTGCTTTGCATCCAAACAAGGTTTCGTATGGCGATTGTTGGATTCCTTGGTGAAAATTACGGTTTTTCATTAATTGAATGAATTTAAGACTCGCAGCCCAATAAGCTTATTCATTTGTCTGCATCCTTGTCATCATCATGTTTTGAACATCTTAGTTGGCACGTTCTACTGAACATTGGCTTTTGCTATGCCTTGGTTTTTCATTTAACTAGTTTTAAGTTTATGCCACATGTTCTCTATTCAGAAATAACTTGATTCACAAATTCCTTCCATTATGATTTGGACTATTTTTTTTGGCAGCCATCTGGTATGTCTGTCTCTTGGTCTGACGGCCCTTTTGGTCCATGTCGCATTGCATATAGAATGCTATACAAACAAAAGCCAAACAATACGTTACTCGCAATGAAACCGAACCCAGAATGATGAAAACGCGATTACAACGTAGTCTAGATAGGACATGTCAAGTTTAAACGCTTCGAACTTTGGCCAGTTCGTCTCGGCCAGTGCGCGCATTGACCGGACAATGTACGAAATACGCTCTTAGTGCTAAGTTCTTCGGGCTTTGGCCGCACTTCGGGCTTTGATTGTAACATATATATACAGATTTAAAATTTTATCTGTACTATGTTTTGAGTTAAATGTTTTTTTTCCTCAGGCCGTAATATGGCATTAAAACAACACGCTATCCAGTCAAGCTTGTACCGAAAATGTTTTGCCCATAACGCCGTAAACGGCGAGAAAGACAATTGCCAGCTCGACTACACCCATACTTCTACGATTGATAGCGATCCATATTTTGAAGTTCATTTTAAATATCCTTCAACTATACATCTAGTCAAAATTTACAACAGAAAGAGTGGTATGTTTCTGCATTTATATACATGCAATTCTGGGTTGGTTATTTTAAGCATTTTAAAATTATGATTTAAAATAAATAAAGCGGGAGTGATCTCCTCTAAACTTTCTCAAATATTCTTATATAACACAAAGGGGAATGGCAACTCGGGATACGGACATGATTTTCAATCAATTTAATAACATTACCTTTTTTTAAAATAGACTAGAATCTAGTAGAAACAAGTTAATTAAAAAGTCTAGTGACATTTATGCGCAATTTCCTTATGTTATCTAAAAATAGCTCTGTCGTATAATGCTGGGGTGCGTTCAAGCTAGGAGAACGATCGGTTTGTAGGTGTTTATGTAATTTTAAAATTTGTGACCGAACGAAAGGATATTTTTGAAAACTTTCTTCGGCAATATTGTTCTAAATTATGGCAGGACGGAATCGATTGGTAAATGTTTCAAGTCGCCAAGTGGACTGGGTGCCGAGGTATGGGCCAAAAACTGCATTTTTTTCGAGGTTTTTTGGCTTTTCCGTGAAATCCAGGAACGAATTCCGGAATTTTTTGGGCCCACTATCATTCTCGTAACTTGCTTAACAAATTTGCTTTTGAACTAGTCCTCGATATTGCTTCGTTGAGGAGGAGATACGACTTAAAGCTGCGAACACACATCCATCCATACATTCATACATCCAGAAATGACGGGTTAATAAACGCAATTCTCCAGAATGGAAATTGCGCTAAAAAAAATTGCGCACTAAGATAACGGCAAACAATATGTGTATAAGAGTGCGGAATAAAAAGTACTTTATAAATTAGTTTCCGTTTTTTTTCAATAAACGGAAATAGCGTTAAGTACTGTTTCCGGTCAGCGGAAATTATTCAACATTTGACAAAAGGCAGAGAAGAAGATAATTTACTTATGTTATCTATCTAAAATAGTACTCAAATTATACGCATTTAAAAAAAAAGTAGAATAAATTCCATATCTGTTTACCGGAAATCGCTGAAAAGTTGAGACGGAACTAGAGCCTACATTCGGTTTATTGAGTTTAATAGACTATGGATAAGATGGGATAATATAGTCGTTTACTAAGTTGTATTAGCAGATTTTAGTTTTAGTTTGCGATTGCATTAGTGTTTATGTTTATGTTTAGGTTGGTTGGTGGTTAGTGTTAATCTAAGTTAGAGTTGGGTTTAGGGTTATGTGTACTTTTGTCAAACGTCCATGCCGGGTATATGCTGCATAAGAAACACACAAGTCATAATCTTTTTTTGCCCGACCCCCCTTCTCTCTCTCTCTCTCTCTCTCTCTCTCTCTCTCTCTCTCTCTCTCTCCTCTCTCTCTCTCTCTCTGTCTCTGTCTCTCTCTCTCTCTCTCTCTCTCTCTCTCTCTCTCTCTCTCTCTCTCTATATATATATATATATATATATATACATAGACCTATACATCAGTAGACTGTCTCGCAAAATATTAAATTCATTATTTAATCCATTTCCTAATTTTGTAATTAATTCTACTTCATTGCAAAGTAATCGTGAGACAAGAAATATGCTCTAACTCACTTTGGTTCTGATGATCGTGTTTTTCCCACGTTGTCTTTAACTTGCTTTCGCGTATGTTTGTTTGTTTGTCTTTCCATCATATCTTACGATCGAAATTTCGGGCATTTCCCAGTTCGCTAGCGCGCTGAAATTTTCAGGGAAGCTTTGTTTCCGATGACAATACAATATTCAATTATTATTATTACTAAATTGATCCATGGAAAAATGTTATTGATCATTTTAGACTCCTATTGATTTGTACAAAAAAGGGACATAACCTAGTAATTGTAATTTGATAAAAACATGGTTCGGTACTTTCCCTCTTCTGGCTTACTGAAAAAATAATGAAAAAACATGAAGGAGCGAGCACGCAATTGGCTGAGTAGTGGTCACGCGGTGTTTGTGTACAAACCTATGCAAATCTGACTGATCCGAAAGTAGAATGTTGATGAACGAATGGTTTGCACGCGAGGGCAAAATTGTGAAAGAAACGGCAACACAGAAGAAACGTCGATTGGAAAAGGAACGCCAGAAGTATCAGGAGAAGCGCAATGCAGGATACAGATTGGAAAATCCTCCTAAACGACCAAAAATTATGGAAGAAGGTAAGTATCAAAAGAAGCTTGAAAAAGATCGAAAACGAAAATCTGCTGCTTTAGCGATGGAGACAGAAGAACAAAGTGTCTCTCGTAAAGCAAAAAAATAGAGTGCGTCATGCTACTGCTCGTGTGATTGAGAAAGAACAAGAAAGGTTCTCTCGTCTTGCTAAGCAGAAAGAACGAACTGATGCTGCACTTGCGAGTGAGACAGAACAAGAAAGGATCTGTCGTCTTGCTAAGCAGAAAGAACGAACTGCATGCTGCACTTGCGATTGAGACCAAAGTAGAAAGGGTCTCTCGCCAAGCAAAAGACAGAAAGCGTCATGCTACTGCTCGTCAAGACAAAGAAAGGCATCAAGCAGAATTGCAACGTCGACGCACTGCTTACGCCCAACGTTCGGCAGCAATGAAAACATTTTTCGACACGATAAACACTTTTTGCAATAAAACTTGTGATATTTGTCATAAGCAGTGCTATCCTAATCAGGTGACAAAATATCACATGCTTGCCTCTAAGGGATACCTTCCCGCTGAGCTTGCGCAAAAGACTGTGCTAGAAGTTTGTCACCGATGTAACTCGCACTTGCGCAACAATAAGAAGAACGTGGCTCCGTCGAAAGCCTACTGGAATAACCTTGATCCTGGTGATGTTGAGAGCGAACATCATCGTTGAAAAGGGACTGGTTAATGGCGCAATCGGCAACATTACAGAAATTCATTGGCCAAATTTCAGACGCGACTAGATAGATAAAGACATTCCCGACTTAAGCATTGACTTTGGGCCAGATGGAATCCATAGGATTGAGCCGAGATGCGTAGAATTTGATGGAAAACTGAATTATGGGAAAGTCGAGCGAAGACAACTGCCCATAATTCTATGCTGGGCATGCACATTGCATAAAATGCAAGGCTGCACAGTTGATCACGCAGTTGTCTATTTAGGACCAGCGCTTTTTGAAACGGGCCAGACGTATGTTGCGCTCAGTCGAGTACGATCACTGGAAGGCGTACGCATTGTGGAATGGGATTGCAGCAAGCTAACAGGAAAAAACCCTGCAATGAGGAATGTCTACAGGAGATGGAAATAATGCGTCGACACGAACCTCCAGCTGATCCTGAATAATAAGCGTGTCATGCCTGGTATAAGTCCTTTTTATCTTTGTGTTTGTCCTTTGCGAGTGTTTGTCTTCGTTTACCCAAAAAAAAGTGAATTCGAGAAGATAAAATCGATAGTGTAACGGACACCTATCTACCAGCCAGATAGATGGTGAACGCCCCCGGATTCTTTCTTGGGGTTATATGCAAATGACTTATAGCCTAAATGAATGGACATTAACTCAACAACACACTAGGGCTCGATTTCGATGTCTAGGGAAAACTAGTGAAACTATTGAAGTTAACAACTCATTCAATCTGCATACAACCTTTAATAAGCGAACACAGTTGTGGCAGATAACAAGGTTAAACAAGATAAAATATTTAGTTTAGAAAATAACAAAACCCAACTTACAAAGCGTAAGAAAAAATACTATCACAGATTCTAACACTGTATAAAAATAGCCACAGGTCACATAACACTGCTATAGCATCAAGAATCACTTGGCGACAAGTAATATAATATTAGAACACTTTAACAACTTAGGAATACATAGCACACTCAGGACTTAAGCTCTCTCACGTTCAAATGGTCAGAATCTACTGCCGGACAAAATGGACGGCCTGGTCAAGATGGACTGCTTGATCAAGGTGGACTGCCTCGTGTCGCCTGTGGGCGATCTAGTTAAAGACTTAGGCGACAGGGGAGGTTACCCTCAACTCATGTGGCCATTGGTTGGTGTGGTCATCTGGTCTGAATCAATCAATCAGATTTTGATGGAAAATTTCTAAGTCTTAGACACTCTTACTAAGACAGTGGAAAAAACCCGGTAGTTGCACCATCAATCCATATATGGTATTAACACAATGTCAAAATAAAACATTACTGGACCTAAGTAGGTCACATCCCCTCCCTTTTTGGAAGTGACAGATAGGTTCCACAAAAACATACATAAGGAACCAATCTGGCAATGAAATAAAAAAAAATGTTTTACAAATGTAACCAATCAAAATCTTAATACCAGATGAAAACATCCATGGAAACAAAAGGGAAGTAACTCAGACTTTTACAATTTGTGAAAGGGGAGTAACCCTTTCAAAACATAATAAAACATCAAAATCCCTCAGAAAGGGGTATTACAATATTTCCATGTGGATATTAAAAGTGGTAAACCCGACAGGGTAAAACCTTTATTTCAATGACTAGCTACAATATCAACTGAGTCATATGAGACATATTATCATAGAAGATTACATATAATCAAAAACCACCTTTAATTAAGGTTCACCTGAAAATAAATAAAATATGCAACAGGATTGACTTTTTGAAAAAAATTCAAAACTCACACCACTCACATTCAAGTGAGTGTCACCCAAACAAAACACTTGTGTATGGTCCTAATGAACCACAAAACATGTCACATGATCAATGTGTGTAATAAGATTTTACATCCTTGACAAACAATCAGCCACAACCTTATCAATACCCTTAATGTGGGAAATTTCCAGATTAAAATTTTGGAAATATAAACACCATCTCAATATTCTTTGATTCTTCTGTCCTAACTTAGAGGTAAATTTCAGGGGATCATGGTCAGAAAACACTCTGACTGGATTGGTTGAAGAAGAGACATAGACTTCAAAATGTTGTAAGGACAAAACCAAAGCTAAAGCTTCTTTTTCAATAGTAGAGTAATTCTTTTGGTTCTCATTTAACTTCCTGGAAAAAAAAGCAATTGGATGGTCAATCCCCATGTTGTCTTCTTGGAATAAGACTG